ATCACCGAGCTAACTTTGGCGACCTGGAACAGCTCCAGTACCCTGTACTTCTGCTAAGTTCCTACACGATCTAACTCCTCTTTCGTGTTACAGGTTTTAAGTATTCAGCAGCTGTACCGGATTAGTACGATGTACTGGGACGACAAGTATGGCACGCACAGTGTATCTCCGGATGTAAGTTTCTCTCGATGGATTACTCGCTCTAGAACTAGGTTAGAGTCGTTCTCGTCTGTGGAGGATTTCTCGGTCATTTTCTTTTGGCATACTTAAGCGGGGAGGAATGCTAATCCTGAACTCGGCTTTCCTCAACAACTCTCGTTCAGGTCATTTCCAATATGAGGGTGTTGATGACCGAAGATTCGAACAATGCAGTCAGCAGTTCATTCCTACTCGATGATGATTCCAGGTTAGCTTCAAGATTTACTTTGAAACAAAATCAGTGCTTCCTCAATTACCATTACACCGCCATGTTACTTGATCTCCCATAGAGTTTCTCTCTAGGTGACACACAACTTCTTGACTCCTGCTCTCTGTGCAGCATTCCGTTTTCGGTGGATGACATATCGAAGTCGATGGAACAAATGGACATAGCAGACATCGAGCCTCCGCCACTTATCCACGAGAACTCGGGCTTCAGCTTCTTGCTACCGCGGTCTGACTGATTGATGAACAGAGGCGGTTCTCGGATAAAAACACTCCCCATTGACCTGGTCGGGATGCAAACATCTCGAGCACGGCTTTGCTTCTGTACCGCCGTAGATCAGGTGTACTCCGAAGAAATCCCCTCACGGGACACGCCATCGAACCAGGGCGCGATAACTACAGGATAATATTGCCTTCTTACTTTTTGTCACCAATGTCCTCATCCAGGGGCAAGGAAGTTTTGTTAGGTGAGGTGAATCAATGCTTAATGTTGACTCTGAATTCTGTAAATAATCTCTCACTATAATCTGTTGATGATTAACATGGAACTTTGCATTAATCAATAGAGGAGACAATCTCTTTTTCTCCCACTCGTTCAGTTTTGCACATTGTGTAAACATGCCAAAAGTCAAGATGAGCAGGGAAGATACCAGCTGCAATATATGTCTGTAAAAATCCATGCAAATGCCACAATCATGATAGTATAAACATACATAGTATACGAATAATTTCTGTCGGTTTCATCTAAAATCGCAGCATGCGGGTCCCACGGATCTCGCCTTCGAGAGGGGCTTTTCTTTAAGGAGTAAATAAGGCGAAAATCGAGGAATTATGTGACGATACACCCCAAGAAGTCAATTAAACCGATCGGATTCGGATAGACCATGCGATACGACTTAGGACATCACGGTTTTGGTGAGAGATATTTTTTTGGGTGTGGAATACGTGACGTTCCATAACAAATGTTGCCTGGCTAACACGGCGAAAATTTCAATCGAGGGTCGCTTTCTACGCTTTCGATTCCACTGCTTTGCTTTTGAAAATATCCTTTCCATATACTGCCAATTCGAAAGGTACCACGACCGTGATGTAACGTTCATAGCAATTTTTGGTGGACATAGCCCGATACGTAGACTTTACGTATTCGGAATATCTTTAAATACCGACGTTTTTTTATTTTATTTTTCTTTGGTACATGTTGTTAGTACGTCGACCGAAAATGGGTTTTTTTTTTAAAGGAAAATAACACAAATAGTCCTTGAACAATGGCCCGATGTATAATATGATCTTCGAATTTTTAATTTGTTCGATGTGAACCATGAACATTTTGTGCGTGTTCAAACTAGTCTTTGTATTATATGAAAATATTCAATGCTGTATATGAACTTAGATTAATGAAATGATAACATTGGTTATTTTCATATAATCTAGGATCCGGTTTGAACATTTACCAAGGGTTCAGGAACCACATGAACAAATAAAAAGTTCAGGGATGTCATTGCACATTAGGCTCAAGTGTAGAGACCACGTTAAAAAAATTGAAAGTTCGGAAACCACATTACACATTATACCAAAGTTTAGAAGCCATTTATGTCATTATCCCGGGTTTTTTACGTAAGAAAGACACGGTGTAGCTATCGATATAATACCGGAAGCTAATGATTTTGCCGTTTATATGACTAAGGATATGATTGTTTCGCGAAAATAAATAATTTTGAAAATATTTTTTTAAAAATGATTGTTTATATTATTTACAGAAATGAACGAACAAAAAATACTTCTATTATCTAAGAAAATGTTTAAACAAGAATAGTTATAAATTAATTATTTTAAACCATACGAGCGTTTTTTATTAAAAAAATATATGTTTTCCAAATCAATGTTATAGTACGAGTCACTTCAGATCATTAATTTGTAATTATGCTTTACAGATAAGATCCTGGTTTCTCGTAATCCTATAGGTTGGCTTTTTCAAAAAGGTGGGGGCGACACGTGTGTCACGTGGATTTTATTTGCCAGAGTCATTTTGTCCTAAATTCATGGTTGCATGTGAAAAGATACATGGAACTTTCATAACAAATATTAGGAGTGTGCAAAACAGACCGCTCAGATCGAGAATCATCCGAATCGAATTGGATCAGCCGGTTTGGTCCGGTTCCCGATTCCTAAAAGTGGAATCGGTGTCCGGGTAATCCGATTCCCAATTTCAAGGGGGAACCGGATTGGACCGGACCGGACCGACTACTTATACTTTTTTTAATTTTTTATTTCTTCAAAAAAATTAATAAAATGTGAACTAAACCAATGTATAATGCTTTCCCCTTATCGTCGCACCACAATGAATCTTCACTCATCATCGTTTTCCGTCAATATGTTGAGATTTGTCACTCTCTGTCGTTGTTGTCGGAAAAAAATGAAAAAGTGATTGGTTCCATTGAATCGAATCGAAACCGAACCGGACCGGGAACCGATCACTCATGACAAATATACTAAACCCATCCCTTAGGAAATTTGTCAAACAATCAATTAAAGAATTATTTAGTTTTTTTTTCAGCATGTTGATTTTTATTTATTTATTGTAATATGCATAATTAATATTTTGAAAATCGGTTTTTTTTCATTAAACTTAATCGACATGTATTTATTCAAGCCATTAACGTGCAAATCAACCTGACCTACTTACTAATCTTGTTAATAAGTGCATATAGTGCACTTGCTGAACATATAAACGTTCGATTTCAAAATATTGATTGCATATATTACGAGACCGATTAGCATTGAAAGTTGCAAACATTTCCTCATAATTTGCAAGGTTCATGACATTAAAAATCCAAAATCAGTAACACGTGACATATTCACCAAAAATTATATTTTACTCACGAAAAATCCAATTAGTACCCAAACCTACCATCCGTTAGCATTTCATCCAATTTCCCATTAGAATACATACGTGTCAACACACGTTCCATGTCAAATCCATCTTGTAGCCGTTTACCATGTTTGGGGACATGTATGCACTTCGATCGGACATTGAACTGAATGTTAACAGAGGCCATGCCATGTATAGGGGATGACAGTTTGAGATGTCTCGCGAGACGAAAGTTAATTTTGAACAAGTATCTAAAGATTACCCATTTGGGAATTTTTTCTTTTTATGTTATAATGGTATCCTCGAAAATTCATATTTTTGTTTAGTATAAATATCCAAAAACCATAAAAGCTAGGGGGAGCAAAAGGAATCACCCGGATCGGGAACTGCCCGAACCGAACCAAACCAACTGGTTCTAGGGCAATGATCTAGTTCTCGGTTCTATAAAATTGGATGTGGCACTACCCACTTGAACCCCTCAGAGTTAGACATGGCCACGATTTGGAACCGACGGTTCCGGTTCGTGGCCATGTATGAACCGGAACCGGCGGTTCCGGGCCGGTTCCGGTTCCGGCCCGGTTCGGAACCGGCCGGTAAAAATTAAAAAAATAAATTATGAAATAAAAAAATAATGAATTATCAAATTATGAAATAATGAATTATTCAATATAAAATGTAATCAAAATGTACATTGTAATTAAATTTGGGGAACAAAAGAGTTTCTCCACTTATCTGCAGTTTTTTTTTTCCAGAACCGGGCCCGTAGGCCATGGCCCGGTTCCCGTTCCGAACCGCGGGCCCGGTCAATGGCCCGGTCTCGGGTTTGACCCGGGCCGATTCTAGGCCGGTTCCAGGCCGAAACCGGCCCATGGTCATGTCTACTTGGAGTCGACCGATTTTTTTTTTAAATTATTTTTATTTCTTAAAAACTTCTAAATAAATCCTACTCTATCTCCCATTTCAAAGTGGAAGGCCCTTCAAGGCCGAAGCGATTACGTTTACTTATGCACATGAATAAGATAATAAGAACAAATCAAAACACAATAGTAGTTGCTCATTTCAATCAAATTTTGCCACAAATTGAAAATATCTCTGTGAAACCAACTTACTGATTCTAGAACGCCTTGATTTAACGACAAATAAAAAGAAAAACTGAACATGCTGCCAGTTCCCGGATTGGACTAGTTCCAAAGGGCACCGGTCCGCCCGGCCCCTCCGGTCCAGGTCCCGGTTTCTGAGCGGGATTCGCTCACCCCGGATAAAAACACCATAGCGGCCCGGGGGGGGGGGTCAGTGGAAAAAACAGAAAAAAAGAAGATAACGTGACATTGAAGGTCCTAACCTCTGACCCAAAAAAAAAACAAAAGAAGAAGTCCTAACCGACGCTAATTAATACGGGAAAAAGCGCAATTTGGGCAAAAAATTAATACGAGAAAATCACGACTGACCGGATTTTTTTCGAGAATAATAATAAAATAAACATGGGGGGGGGGGGGGAAGATGCTTTACGGTCCGAAAGTCTGACTAGGCTGGCAGAGAGAGAGAGAGAGAGAGGGGGGGGAAAAAGAGCGTCCAGGTTCTCTTCACGTAATATTTGGTGGGTCCCACTTCTTGAACCCCACACGCGCACCTCTCTCTCTCTCCTCTCTCTCCTGTCTCTCTCGTTTCTTGCCTTCTCTTCCTGTTCTTGTTCTTGTTCTTGTTCTTGTTTTCTTTTGGTGTTGTGGGTGTGTGTGCGTGTGTATTACTTTAAGTTGAAGCTACAGTGTTCAGGAATTTCAGTCGACCTTCTCTTCTCTGTACTTGTGCGGCCGGAACCGATCTCTCCTCCTCCTCCTCCTTTTGCAGTGGAAAAAATAAGTGAGAAAAGGAGCGAGTTCGGCTGGTGGTTTTTTTTTTTGGCTGTTTCTTTTTCGGGAAAGCTCGGTTTTCCTTGGCCCCCCCCCTGCCGGGTCTGTTTCCATCTTTCCATTTCTGGGGTTCGAGCATTTTCGGTTCCTTTTGCTCCTGAGGGGGGGAAAAGGTTTCGCCTTTTCTCGTGATTGGAGAATTCGAGAGGGGGGGGGGTGCTGTTCTGGTGGGTTCTTGATCTTTTGCCAGCGGGGTAACGATCAAGAAGGAGGCGACGGGCTGATCTCGGCTTTTTTTTTTGGAGGTACCCCCTTTGCTCACAGTCTCAATTCACTAGTGAAGATTAGAAAAGCTCCCTCCTTTTTTTCTCTCTTTTTGCAGCTACCCTTTTGGTGTGCGGCTTTGATTCTGGTATCTGTCCTTTGTAGATTGGAGACCGTTTGCTTCAGATTGATTGGTTGTCTTGTGGGGCTGAACATTGTTGCGGTGCCTCTACCTTGTTTTTGATCTTTTTCTTTTTGGATGATTTGTGGAGTTAGTGAGCAGGAAGAAAGAGAAGTAAGCTGTTATGGTTGAGAGGCTGGGGATTGTAGATGCTCTGGTTTACAGTTTTTGCTAGATCTCAAGCATGAAGAACTAGTCCTCCTGCTTCACATCCGCGGAAGCAGATTGATACGTCTTGGAATTTTGGCAGATTGGTTTCTCTTGCTATGAGAGCGGTCTTTCGATTTCCTTGATTGGAGATTGCCTCTCGTTTGGAAGTTAAACATCGAGGTGAGATGAATTGATTAGGCACTCACTCGGGGGGGCAATGTTAAGAGCAGTCGCTCTTGGCTTATTCCTATCTTCCCTTAGTGTCTGTGCTTACGCCGATGACAACAGTTTCAGCTGCTGCGATGATGAGGGCTTTTGGAGCGTCGAAAGAATCTTAGAGTGCCAGAGAGTGAGTGATTTCTTGATTGCTGTGGCATACTTTTCAATACCACTCGAACTCCTTTATTTCGTTAGCTTGTCGTACGTGCCATTCAAATGGGTGCTCGTTCAGTTCATAGCATTTATTGTCCTCTGTGGTTTGACACATTTGCTCAATTGTTGGACTTACTATGGCCCTCACTCATTCCAATTGATGCTGTCCCTCACGATTGCGAAGTTCCTCACCGCGCTGGTCTCATGTGCTACTGCGATAACCCTTTTGACTTTGATACCTCTGCTGCTCAAAGTAAAGGTGAGAGAAACTTTCTTGAAACAGAACATATTGGTATTAGACCACGAGGTTATGATGATGAAGAGACAGAAGGAGGCTAGCTGGCATGTCCGTATGCTGACGCAGGAGATTAGGAAGTCACTGGATAAGCATACGATATTGTACACAACTCTGGTTGAGCTCTCTAAAACTTTGGATTTGTACAATTGTGCGGTCTGGATGCCAAATAATGATCGTACAGAAATGATTATGACCCATGAGTTGAAGGCAAGTTCATCGAAGAGTTATGGTCGCTCCATCCCGATCAATGATCCTGACGTGATAGAGATAAAAGAGAGGAAGGGTGTGAGGAATTTGAGGCCAGATTCAGCCCTGGCGGTTGTGAGTAGTGGTGGGCTCGATGAGCTAGGTGCTGTGGCAGCAATCCGGATGCCAATGCTTCAGGCGTCGAACTTTAAAGGAGGAACACCACAGTCGATTGATACACATTATGCAATACTAGTTTTGGTTCTTCCACAAGCAAATCCTAGAGATTGGAGCTACCAGTACATGGAGATTGTGGAAGTGGTTGCCGATCAGGTGGCCGTGGCCCTTTCTCATGCCGCAATTCTTGAAGAATCTCAGCTTATGAGAGAGAAACTGGCAGAACAAAACCGCGCTTTGCAACAAGCTAAGAGAAATGCTATGATGGCTAGTCAGGCGCGAAATTCTTTTCAGAAAGTGATGAGTCATGGGATGAGGAGGCCAATGCACTCAATTGTGGGCCTGCTGTCTATTCTTCAAGAAGAAACTATGAACCCTGAACAAAAACTCGTTGTCGACGCAATGGCGAAGACCAGTAATGTCCTCTCTACGTTAATTAACGACGTGATGGAGATCTCTGCTAAAGATGATGGGAAGTTCCCTTTTGAGATGAGACATTTTCATTTACATGCTATGATCAAGGAAGCCTCTTGCCTTGCCAAATGCCTCTGTGTTTATAGGGGCTGTGGTTTTGAGATCAGTGTTCAAAGTTCTCCCCCCGATCAGGTTATGGGCGATGAAAGGAGGACTTTTCAAGTGATACTGCATATGGTTGGGTATCTTTTGGATATCTATGATGGACAGGATAATGTCACTTTTCGGGTCTCTTGTGAGAGTGATACTGAGGTGAAGCATGATAAGACTTGGGGTTCCCAAGCTAATGAGTTTGTAACTGTAAAATTTGAAATTGAGATTACAAGTGGAAGTGCTCCTTCAGGTGGCTTAATTCCCGGAATGCACCCAGCTGGTTGGAGTCGTGGCAGCAACAACAATAAAGATGCCCTGAGCTTCAATGTCTGCAAAAAGCTTGTCCAGGTTGGTGCTTGCACTCCCTTGTATTTATCAGTTTTCACTGAACAATCGAGAGTTCCCTCGTCACATCAGGTTTGGATGCCATTTTTGGCTGCATAATCTTTGCTGTTTCTATGTGGTTTGTCATTGTGAAGTTAACCGACTCAGTCGGGGCTTCATGGATTCACAAAAAATTTAGGAATTTGCAAGAGGGTGCTCTGTATCTTTTGGCTGCTGTAGTATAGGGTGACTGCAGTGCTTATCATATTTCTTTCTTAACAGTAGGCTTGTCATTGCCAGATAGTACAAGAAAGGATCAGAAGTCTGCCAATAAAAATGTCTGTCCTGTTGTCAGATTGGACGATGGGTTGATTTAGATGTTTCTATACTGTCATTAATTTGGTTGCAGTAGGTACTGCTATCATCAAATTGAGTAATCATTGCAATGTATGTTGTTAATTTGGTTCCACTTGATAATTCATTGTACATACCTTAAACTTTAAAGACTTGAGAGACTCCTAATGAGCTGTTAACTCAGGAAACTGCTCATGCTATTAAACTCGATTGGTTGAACTCCGGCGAAAGCGATGAAATTTGAGTTTAGGTTTTGTTTGAGATACTCATTAACAACTCATTTGATATTATCTTTGCACTTTTGTACTTTGAAACTGATGATTCTGTAGCAACATTTTGGGGTAGGACCTTGTCTGTGCAGCCATTTGAAGTGTCTCTTTACAACTTAAAGATCTGTGAAAACCATGTGCAGATGATGCAAGGTAATATCTGGATTGCTTCAAGTTCTCGAGGTCTTCCACAGAGGATGACACTTGTTCTCAGGTTCCTAAGGCAAGATTCTCGGGGAAGAGCCATGTTGCCTCCTGGAAATCCCATGGAGCAACAAAACCTGGACTCTCTGTTTAGAGGCCTCCGGGTTCTAGTTGCAGATGATGACGATGTTAACAGGACTGTGACCAAGAAGCTTCTCGAAAGGCTCGGTTGTCAAGTGACTTCAGTTTCGACGGGTCTAGAATGCCTTAGTGCCCTGGGCCATACAGATCATTCTCTCAGAGTGGTTTTTCTGGATCTTCACATGCCTGATATGGACGGTTTCGAGGTTGCAATGAGAATAAGGAAGTATCGCAGCAGTCACTGGCCATTAATCATTGCACTGACGGCGAGCGCTGAGGAACGTGTTTGGGAAAGGTGCCTAAAGATGGGAATGAACAGCGTGCTATGGAAACCAGTAGTCCTGCAAGGCGTGGCCGATGAACTTCGACGAGTATTGCAGCGAGCAGGTGAAGCGGTATGATGAGGTGTAGGAGGTGATGAATTCATTAATAGGCGGCTCTTCTACTTTCCCCTCATCACAGTGTCGATTCTTCTCGCATGATGTAGACAAAATGCATTCACTATGCTTTACTAACCATTTATTTTGCTTATTGATAGAATCCAATAGGCTTAAATGTAGCTTTTACTCAAATTCTCATCAGATCAATTCAGATCTGCAAGAATTATGCAGAGATTCACAAGAATAGACAATCTGAAATTGCAGTAGAAATGAACCGTCCAGTCATGCACATTCTCTCAAAATAAGAAGGTGTTTTATGTGATCTGGTGCAATATTGGACTGGTCAAGCTGTTAATAGTGTGGACCAGAATTGTTCAGTTTAATTCGTTGTAGGCTTGCTTCAGCCACCATCCCTTCTGCTGTGTTCTTGAGCTACAGGCATAAAATACAGGCGGTAGAAGTTCTGTATGGATGAACCCTATTACGGCACATGACAATGTGAGCGTCCAAGTTAAGTCTGCTTGCATCCAGTTGTTGCGCGAAGCTTGCTGAAGTTCCATAATAAATTTGATTACAGGTAGTAGCGCCATGGCAAGAGTTGTTTTGTCTCGGGTTTAAGACATGTGGGTCGAGCATTTCTGGATTGTAGTTTACATGGAAGTCAACAGTTTGGCACAGTACTCTGAGGTAGCATGATTCTTCATTTGTTTACTATCTTGAGTCGGTGATCACTGAATTTGCCCCATTTTTCTTTGCTAGAGGTGGAATCTTTGCGTGTGTTAGAGAGAGAACAAAATATATGCCATGTATAATATCAAGTTGCACTTTTTAAGCAAGTATGTGTGTCTACACCAAGCCTCTCTCTCTCTCTCTCAAGCTGTGAAGTCTTTATGCAGAGCATGGCTCGATTACTTTAAGGCATGAAACTTGTTGACAGATGTTGAATGGCTCTATTATAAAGGCTTTTTTCAGTTTACAGTTGCTTGCATGAGACTAAGGGCATAATACAAGAGATGTTTCATTATAATATCAACACATCTGCTTCTACTTCTAGTCCTTGATCAGACTAGAGGAAAAAACAATTACATAAAAAAAAAAAAGCACGGAATGACGCATATAGTTCTTTTCTTTCTTAACATCTGATGTTGGTTTTTTATGGGACCCTGTTAGATCGAATGAAATTGCCAGTTCAATGGATCGGACAAACTCTCGGTCCCAAAGTGGAAGACCCTTTTTGTACCAAATTGGATGTGCTAGGTCAGTTGAGTGGGTGAAATTTGACGTAAATTCCATAAGTCATGGTTTAATCAACTAATTGATCAAACTTTACGGTTAATGGAAACTCCATTTTTAGGAGATGTATCTTGATAGTTGATCAGTTCATTCGGTATTTAGAACGAGTTAAGGAAACAATTACGCATCCCGCTTTCTTTTACTAAGTTGTATGTCTAAGTACATCCTTCGACAATTCCTGTGGAGCGAGTCGGGATTGTTTAATCCCTAATTGCACAATTGAGAATGAATAAGAGGAGTTCAATCACAGATGGTCGCACCATAGGAAAGGGAAAAATAGGAATGGTTGACTCAACAGGTCAATGAGTGTATTGGGCCACAACTCGGGTCCATGAGCGTGGATTCAGCATCATTCTTCCTCCATGAACAGATGTATCACACATCCATAGAAGCCCAAACGAGGGAGAGTCCTCCTTCCAAGTTGATACCTCTTGCGTAGGAGGACCACGAGAGATCATTGGCTTAGTAAAGCTTGGACATTGGTAAGATCTTTTCTCCATATTTTTTGAGCTTAATCTGCTTCTCAAACTCTCTTAGTGTAAAGACATACACTAGGTCATTCAATACAAAGCATCTCTGCTATTTTGACACCTTTTACTCCTTGCTCATTGCTTCCTTCTAAAAGAGTGGAAACTGAAAAAAAATTATGTGTACATTTGAAGTTTCAAATTGGGTTGTCCAAAGTTCCAATTGATGGAACTTGAATTCGAAATCAATAATCAGTTTGGAAAAAAAAACCCAGAAACCAATCTTTTCTTTTTATCTTTGTGAACTCCATAAATAAATTTTGAAGGAACTAAATTGCGGGAATTGCTATCGGAACGAGTGCTCACAGATTAGATCGAGGGATAAGTTATTTTCGCTAGCTCAAAAACTTGAATTTTCATTTTTCTCCGAAAAACAAAGGAGCCCCCCCCTTTTCTTTTTTATTTTATTTTATGGAGAATGAATAGATAGGTCTAAGCCAAACAAATTTCGAGCTTTTTAGAACCGAGGCTTGAGCCGGCCGTTTCGGCGAGCTTTGCCCAGTAATCGACCTAGAACCGAGCCGGTCGGTGGCTCCCCGAATCAGATCGGCCTGACTGCAAGACGAACCAACCCTTAATTATCACCAGAACCAATAAAAAAAAAAAAACCAATCCAGTGAAGAGTGTTCACCGAATCACGAGAATTTTTCTCAAACGTGGAAAAAGCGAAATGGAGGTGGGACAAATTGCAAAGTCGCCGTGGGGGTTGCGACGACGTTACGACGCAATTCCCCAAACACGACGCAATTCAAAAGGGACGTGCCTCCCTCCACGGGGGGTCTTCCGGTGGTTCTGCAGCTGCATCATCATCGTTCAGCCGGCTCAATCCCCACCACCCACATTTTTCTTGTTCTACCGACCGGAGCCCTGTCGTTTTCCACGGTCTTCTCCTTGTCGTTTTCCATTTTCCTCGTTCCCGTGAATAGACCCCCGCCCCTTCAGAATCTCTAGGGGTCGTGAGGTGCTTCAGATGGAATTGCGCCATTTTGTTGCCCCGGTCCAGTTAAACCCTTCAACGATGGTCAAGAAGCGAGGCAAACTCATGGATGTCCGAAACTCTTTCGTGATATTAATCCTCTTCGAGTCAGGTCTACGTCTTGGTCTACATCTTGCTCCATGTAACGAATCGTCCGGTGATTGAATTCGCGCGCAAGGCTCCCATTCTGATGTTGGATATGCATCGGTTATTTAAATTGTCGATTGTAGTTGGTATATTGATTTTGTAAACTCGATTTAGAAGCACCGGAACAACCGTAGGTTTAGTGTGGACGTCAAGGCTCGACTGACCATCGGTTGCTAACTCACAGTAAGACATATGCAAGTTTCATCTATCTAAGAACTTTTCATTTGGTGTGGGAACTTGGTAACTTTCAATCCACCATGCAGATGCATTCCCAAGCTAGTTCTGCAGGTTAAGCTTCATGCTCTATATGCAGTCTATCTTGTAGTTCCATTTCATTTTCCATTTTTTGCTTATAGACACAGCAAGATGACATGGGTAAAATATTAATACGTACGAAAATATTCATATTATGAAGAAGATGGAGTTACTTATAAAAAAAAAAAAAAACTGAAGAAGGTGGAGTTACCTACTATCATGAAGCTGTACAGGATCCTCCACTTTGTATAAATAGTTTTCTCATTTTTCAACATATATTATTAACTACTTTAGCCAAAAAAAAAAAGTTATATTGATTACTCGTTGTTGCAAGTGCTATTCAGAGACATTCTAATCCTTAACATCTTCTTACATCTGTGGCCCATCCTTCATTGTCGAGACCTTCGAAACAGAAACTTTATAAGTATGGTTGTTCATCGCAAGTAGTCTTGCATTTGACTAGAACTGCATATGTATTGCAGTTTTTTTTCCTGTCGAAATGGTAATTTTTCTTTTACCATATCTATGCACAGAACATTAATCAGAAACTTACTCTTCTGTTCAGTACTGACCTTTCTTACTGAAGATTCTCCTTAGCTTGATTAGTTTAATCGTTATTTACAGTGCCCTAAAACCGAAACTTGTTGTCTTTCCGGGTAGCTTCAAATTATCGTTGCAGATGCCCCTGACCACACAATTACTGCATCATCTTTATTGTAAGATTGAACTAATCGAGAATGATTAAATTTCTAGCTAGCAATAAAAGGATTATATTGTTTTGTCTGACATTAACGATCTTCTTGTTAAACATAGTGAGCTGTCTAAGCAGAGAGACAAGAAGATGCTTTGCACAGTTCTTTTATACATGTAACAGACCATGATTTGGTCGCCTAGGAAGCTAAATATTCCCAATTAATTAGTAATTATTATAAGCTGTAGATACATTGTCAAAGAGATTATTATGTAGTTGCTAATTTATTAATATTTTACTTTGCTAAACCTATGATTACCCAACAGGAGATTGTTCTTTTTGAATATTTCTCCTTCTAATATTTGTTAAATGATTCATCTCTCCCCTTGAATCTAGAGGTAGATTTTACTCAAAGGAGTTGACTGTCACCTAGCTAATATAATTATATTGTTTGAGGAATATTAATCATGATTTTACCCGAAGAACGTGTTGAGACAGGTGAATTGTTTGATATATACTTATGCAGCTGCAGAATGAATGACCACCACATCCTCAACAACAGGGAATTTCATGCATTGTGATTGGCCGTCGACCCGAAAATGGAGAGACGCTTTAACTAAAGAGAAGATTAGCATAATAGTTTTTTTGAAAGTTAGGTCAAATTGCACCTCATCCGGCCGAAATAGATGACATGTACTTCACGGCAAGTGCGTCCCCCCGATCGAATAAAAATATTCGGCATCAAGGGAACTCAGCAAAGCAAGAAAATGCCATTGAATTTCCCTTTGCTGATGCATGATTCTCCATTATCAGTGGCTATATTTTAAAACTTAGCTGCTCATCACTTTTTTAATGAACAAGAAGGGCTCCGTTTCGATGGTCCACATTAGTTTACTCCAGATCGACGGAATCCTATTCAAAGCATCATCATTTACTGGCTTGTTTAGGCTCAAACATTAATCTAGGGTTTGGAGTTGTTGGCAAAAATCAATTAAAAATGTCAATAGATAGGAACCGAGGCGACTTCATTCATTGTCGTTCCTCGTCGTCGGCGGGGTTAATTACTTTAATCACGCGATTGAATATCTTAAAACCCTAGGTGGGCTCAATGGGTACTAGTGCTTTACCCCTGGAATGTTGCAAGAAAGAAAAAGAGCTGGGGGTTAATATTTAATTAATATATGATTAACATTGACATGTGAAGCAATGTGAAGAGGGTCCTCTTTGCTGCTAAACTCTAGGATCCTTTGAGTATGTCAAGAAAAGAAAGACATCCTTTCTAAGTGCACTATACTGATCTTAGGGATATAGTGGTGCTTGGCGATCCAATATACAAAACCTTAAAAAAACATATGCTGTGTCCGTAAGGATTGTGGAAGCCTAATCAGCTGAACAAGATCGATTTGTTTTAGGTCTCATTATTTGAAAAAACAGTAATTTACAGAATGAGGACATAAATATATGCGAAACATGATTGAAACATCACTGAATGAAACTCAACATGTGTGATTATACATTTACTTTTTCCTGCATTTGGGTGATCATACAACTCGTTTAAAAAATATTCTGCAGTTTGAGGACATAAATTTCCACGGATGATTGAAGCATTGATAGGTGATGATGCAGTTAATCTTTCTAATCCGAGATTTGAGTATGTTCTCTCATTCTGATTAATTTCATTGTCATATATATTTAGTTTGTGTATATTCTTCCAGCTAGACTATTTCAAAAAGCATAGTTTAAGCTAGCAATCATATATACAATCAAATAATTGCAATGGATAGAACCTGCTACTATACTAGTGTAAAAAAATTAATTAGATCCAGAAATATGGCTCTTATATGCTGAATGCAAGCGTCGATTGCTTTTTTAACAAGAAAAAATTTCGCTTTTCGACTATTGGATCACTACTAGTCATCTTCCTAAGGGTACAATTCCTAGCTAGTAAATTAGATTTCAACTGAAGTAATGTGCTGTCATCTAGCGAATTAAAGCATGCACAAGGAGTACAGCTTTTCTGAACAACTTCGGGTTAATCTTTACGTTGAAAAGTGCAGAAAATTGGGTCTGCTGAAGTTTCAGCCATAGCCTAATGCAGGAGCTAATTAGTATTTAATCTTGGATAAAACCCCCAAATTCTTCAAATGTTTTCTCAGAAATTAGCAAATGAGGAACTGCTTATTCTGAAGTTATATTTTTCCTCTCAAAAAGTCACAATCTTCAGATCCATTTTAGCAATATATATCATCAGTTCATCACCTAAAATTGCACACGCCCAGAAATTTGCTCGAAGAATGATGTTTGCAACTGAAAGGCCACTAGAACCAAACGTCAATGTTTTATGGGACTTGAGAATTCTTGAGAAGACATTTTGTTAATCTCCAGATTTTTCACTTAATTAGCTAGGTTCCTCAAGCTAATACTCTATGAAGTATTTAATCCTTGTACTAGAGCTTGTCCCCCTTTTTCCCTTTTTTTCTTTTCGCTTTCTAGCTTCCTTTGTGAAGCTTTCCTCTAATTAAAAACAACGAAGACAAACAGAACAAACTATATATAAGCATGAAGTCACTCATTTACCATCAAATATCAATTCTGTTCATTCTAACTGTTGTATGTGTAGTTCTCTTCAAGCTCAAAGTCTATCAGATTCAAAGTGAAATTCAGTAGCATGAAGAGCATGTTCTTCAGGGACAAAAAAAAGCCATGGTCATGGATTAATTTTGACAAGCAAAGATAAAAAAAATTATGTTAGAGAGGAGGTTGGAAAAATAAGAAAACTTCAGCTCTGCCAGGACAAATTGAAGGGGAGGAAGAGGAAAGGTGAAGAAAATAATTGGAATAATTGATCAAGCTTTTTCCAAGATCAAGAAGCCTTCAATATTTTTGTCTTAGGTCTTCTTAACGATTGCCCTAAGGGCTCTAGTTAAGACCACTAAATATAGTAACAATGCATACCAACACTCTTTGAAAATTGAATAACAGAACATTTTAAAAGGAAATAATAGATCATATACTGCCGGCGTAAAGGAAATTCACACAAGTGACCTTTTCTGCCCCTGATTTGAAGATTATGACATCCACTTTCTCAACTCAATGATGTATGAAGTCGCTCGTGTAAACTTTGCCATAACAAAGAAAATACTGAAGTCCATAATGAAGTTAGGTCAGATCTACATGGAACTCCTTGCATATTGCATACATGGAAACTAAATAAATTCCAGTTGTCACTATTTAAGGTTTTAAATAAAATACTCAGTAGACTGAATTTAAAGTAGTAGTTTTGCTCCTGACTACTCTAAATTTTATGCAACAGTGTGAAGAGATTAACACAGGAAGGAGTAGTTTTTTATGGAGCGAAACACAGAAATCAGTGGAAAAGTTGTGAAAACTAAAATAATTGAAGGAAATGGAAATAAAATTCTTGCCTTGATTTGCACATAAAGAAGTACCAAAGTGATGATAATCATGGTTTAATGTACAAAATATGAAAAAGACACGAGCAAGTTTTTCTTTTCCATATCCCTAACACAATACAAGATAAAGTAGCTGACCTGAAGCTGTCTCTCTCTCTCTCTCTCCCTCTTGTCCTCATGACTTCTCTATATTATCCTTTTCTAGCCATAAGTTGGCCGGCCATGAGTCCAACCATAAGCCTCATGGTTCAGTTGTCCACCATTTGGAAGCAAATTCGGAGGCAAATTATACACCGGCATCGTCGAAGGGTCCGCCATCCCACCTTGTTGCTGCCCCCCGCTGCCACCAATCCCCGGCGGCGAGCCACTGCCCATCTGCCCTTGCCCGCTGCCCGCTTCCTCTTCCTCCTCCAAGGGCAGTCTCTCATAAGTAGCATTAGAAAAGGTCGCTGCGATCACCATGACAGGCCCCGAAGCCACAAGCGAGCCCACGACGCTTCCGCCGACCACCTGACCTTGGCCTCCGGCTAGGTATATGGTCAAACCAGTGGACCCTGGTGGGGCAGGACCAGGTAAAAAGGCCCCGGTGAGGGAGAGAATCTCGAAGCGGCCGTGGAGGGCCATGACCGCCCCCGGAGCCGTGGGTTGTCGGAGCGTGACATTGGTAACTGTACCGCTCCCACTGAGCACGCAGACGCCCCTCTGTCGCCGTCTGGCGAACTGGGCCACGCTCTCGGCTATATCTGCGCCGTTGGCTATCTCCATCACGTGGCTCCGAAGCGCGTTAGGGCTATCTCGGGTCACAAAGATTGGCGGCTTGGGCTTATTCTTGGAGCCCGGCGGACGGCCCCTCGGCCTCCGAGTGGCGACCTCGACGGCTCCTTCCTTCGGCTCGTCGCTGTTATCTCTCTCGTCTTCTTCCACGGCCCCACCTCCTCCGCTGTTGTCCTTCATGGAGATCCCTAGATCAGGCTTTCTTGCCGGGGAGGAGCTCGTCGAGGTCTCGACTCCGGGGAGCCCGACCTGCCCTGTCCACCATGGATTTGCCATGATTCCTCTTCCTTGTGAAAAGAATTTGAGCAAACTATATGCTGTTGAAACTATAGGATTGATTGGTACTTGAATTCCTTATAGACCCCCAGATCTATCTGGGTCAATTCACCTCTTCTCTATGGCAAAAGCTCAACGGGAAGAAGAAGCAAATCGCCGCAGCAAGTGAAGAGTGATGCGACAAAGAGATGACCTCCCCAGAAATGACCGCTAGCTCTAGTGATCTTCCACAAGAAGGCAGATGATGGAGAGAAACAGAAAGAGAGGAAGGTAGCGAAGGTTAAAGAAGGCGAGCGATTAGAGAACCTAAGAGAGAGCGAAAAGTGATGAAGCAAGCCCGAGAGAGAGAGAGAGAGAGAGAGAGAGAGAGAGAGAGTAATGAACAGGAAAAACCACAGCTAAGTAGCGAGAATCTCTTACTCTCCCTCTAATTTTTTTTTTCTGGGTTTTCTTTATGACCCGCTACTTTTCTTTGTCATGGGAAGTGAAAAAGGTTGCGTAGCTTCTTTCTTTTAAACTCCGGTCTCTCCCACGAACATACAAAGCGATATGGTCAGTGAAAAGAGAGAAGGTTAAGGGGAAGAAGAAGTTGAAGAAGAAGAAGAAGAAGAGGAAGAAGAAGGAGAAGGAGAAGGAGAAGAAGATGGTGTTGGGAACTAGGGTTTGCGCTGTGGGGTCGCGTGCGCGTGAAATGGTGGGTCGCACGTCCCCCTCTCCCTCTCGCGTCCCGACATACACATATCATCAACACACACACATACATACGACAGAGAGAAAGAGAGAGAGAGAGAGAGGTTGAGGAAAGGTGCGCGCAATATATTATAATTAATCGGACATTATTATATGATTAAACTGACCTCATTTCTCAAGAACCTTATGTCCCATATTAAATATTAAAAAAAAAGACGACTCCTCGAGGGGTGGTTTTCCCCCATTAAACTAATGTGAAAAATGGCGGTGAGGAGCTCCAACCTTGACCGCAATTTCGGTCACCTTCCCTCCAGTCGTTTTCCTGGGGGGCTTTCTTATTATCAACTGGTTATGATTTTGTCTTGTGGAGGCCGTTTACATGGTGCGGACAATCTTAACCTTCTTTCCTTATTTTAATAACGTCTCTTCTTCTTTCTTTCTCTTCTATTTTTTATCGTGAGGAAAACATTATAATAATATCCAATCGTTTTCTACCTTTCATCGTGTGGCTTGAGACTTTGTGTATGTACCGCTATGATTAATTGTAAAATAATTCGACCAAAGATCTATGTTCCGCAGAAAATATGTGGTAAAATAGCGAAAAGGGTCCTGAGATAATTTGGATGATATTATATTTCTCAGGCCGTTGATTGATGTTTTGAATTTGTACCTTTTCAAGTCTACATTGATTTTCTTCTGATGGTGTGGTCAAGTTCCGAAATGTGGGTTGTCTTTTCAAGGGTTAGGGCAAGACTATAGCATGGATAATAAAAGGCAAGTTAAAATGAACATTCGAACATGAAACATTATGCAACCAAGACAACACATTTTCAGTCGTTTAATAAGTCGACCGAACATATAAAAAGCTAATGATTAAGATTTAAGACCCGGTTAAAAATGATTAAGTGCAATGTTCGAAGAGTATTTTAACTATTTACCCTAATACGGTGACGCGGGGAACATGCAAGGATTTCTTTAGTTGCAAACTTGCGACATCATGAAAAAATAAGTTATTCCATCAATTGAGGAAAAAAAATAGAGTTCGCTTTGCATGTTTTCCTTTTGTGTCGTTGAAAAACATGTTTGTTCATATTTCAATGAATCCTAGTTCTGATGAAGTTAACTGTTGCTACTGTTAAAAGGCTAAGAGGAATACACAATACTTCCTCGGAGAGTAAAAGAAGTCATTTTACATGTTCAAAAAAAGTTAATATTTTGAGTGTCGTTTAGGAGTGCTTTTATGAGATTTGTCAAGCATACTTTATAAGAAATTTTCCATTTTCCAGACGCCGATTACACATGTCATAAGAACGGTCAATTCATTTAAATACTGTAACATTTCTTTACTTTAACAAGTGTTTCAGAAGCACTCATCAATGTATATCTCAATGTTTTTAATTCATTCTCACCCATGTTATCACTAAGCTTGAATTTGATATATGCAAGAAATTAGGGGATATTATGATTAACAAATGATCTCAAGGATGTTATGAATAAGTCAAGGACCATAGAATTGTCCGATGTCAAGCCTAATGAGCCTTGTTCAAACTCACCCACGACTCGAAAAATCTCGAAATTTCGTCTACAAAATTGGCTGGGCTAGCTAAACGACGAGCCAGCCCCGAAAACTGAGTCACTTGCGTGTGCTTGTCAGCCTAAAAAAAGTTTATGTGAGTAGGACCCTGTTCGCACATTGTAGGTTCAAAAAGCATTATCTAACTCAACACAATGGCGGCCTATCGGGTCTGTCAAACCGTCAAGCTCATAATCAGATCTTCTTGTGATTGTCCATCATTTGGTAATTACAAAGTTTTAAGTTAATGTCCGTATTAATCCTGTCCTTGTAATATGGAGAGTTGCATCTTTTTGTATATGCAAAGCAGTTGATTAATTAATTGTTTTAGGATCATAAAATTCAAATCCCATCAACTTTTAATGATAAAATATATTGTATATTGGCCAAAAAGATATGATCAGCTTGATTGTTTAGATACTATGATCAACTATAAAAAAAAATAACATTACCAACAATGCGTATTATTTAAAAATTGGCATGTCTTTCCATTTTCCAAACCTCACACCACCTGCTTCTCTAATACAAAAAAACAACATTAGATGAAACACTGTATGCCAGAAATCACCAATAATGCCGTATTATTTAATAAGAAATTTCAGAAAAAAAATCATAAAATACTTTTAAATATCTTTAAGCTTTTAAAAATGGCCAGGCATGTGCAAGAATGACAATCTCTTGCTAAATTAGGATTAAAAGTTCGGAAAGATAATTTATCGATCTCTTCAACTTATGCGTTCTTTTCCTAGAAATGCACGTGGTCGTGTGTCTCTATTTTTTATCATATCATATATATATGAGTGTGTGTACATGCGTAAACACACCCACATATATAGTCTAATGGTACCATTGTCTGGAATGAAGCCTTTTCGTCAGTAGTTGTGGAGTCTAAATAGTAAATTAAACATGATTAATACTATAGTGCTGATAATAATGTTTACTTCCAAAATGAAAGATTTGCTTCTCTGAAAGGAAAATAACTATGATATTATAAACGTGAGGAGATTATAAAAACATCCATTGAAGGTGGCATGTTTAATGGTATAAAGTCGAATGCTGAATAAGAAACCAAGTTAGCAAGATGGGAACCAAAATTACGACAAGAGTATTCGACATTACATAGAACTGAGAGCCTGAGATCCTCTGCTGAGTGTAGATCGATACCTTCAGTTTTCATCATCATTCATAGAATAGATAGTTTAGAGTTGATTTGGTATGCTTAATCCCAAAGAATTCCTACTCTCTATCAGCCATTTTCTCCCTTCTTGTGTGTTCAACCCCAACCATCTCATCAGAGCGGCTCGCCACCCCGCTGAAGCGCCACCAGCCACCAACCGCACGACTATGTGCCGATGCCGCCCATATGTACCATCACCACAAAAGCTCTCTCTCTCTCTCTCGGTCCTCTATCATCCTTCATTATTAGAGATATTTTCAATGACACATCGACGATGGTCATCAATTGAACACGGGGAAGCGGGAGGGGGGCAAAAACCAAAAGAATTCCTTTTTTGGGTCCGTTTTGTTGAGATGTATGTGTGAGCTGTGTCAATATACTGGATATATTGACAGGCTCGGACTTGGGCTCCCTCTTGGCTCCTAGGTGAAGGTATCGGATTTCTGTTGCGCACTCTCAACAAATAATATCGAAGCCAATGGTAGATTGGTGGGCTCCTAATCTGTTCTATGTCTGGTGAATATTTCAAGAAAGGAATTTGATGATCAACGTGGTGAGCGTTGCAATGTAGCAACGCAAGTCCAATAGCAGACTTCATGGTTCGGTTTGGAGAAAGAGATTAGGGATGAAGTTGGGCATTGATGAAGATTCAAGTTGAGATATCTTTATGCAAAAGAATACATGGATTAAGGGGGAACAGATCTAATACTGAGTTCACACATGAGGGGAAGATTGTTGTTGAGATGTACGTGTGTGAGTTATGTTAGAGAAGTCTCACATTGGAGAATTGGTGTGGTATGGAGTAGTCAATAAATATCCTAGTTAGCCCATAATTCTTTAGTTTAAGCTTTTGAATAAATGTGGGTTCAACTGGATATATTGATAGGCTCAAACTTGGGCTCCCTCTTGACAATCTCTAGGGTGGAGGTTTCGAGCTTCTGCTATACACCCAAACTTTCGTTTCGCGAAAAATGAATGATTTGTTAAATATTTCCTAAAAATGATCGTTTGTTATAATAATGAAAGAACGAAAAATATTTTCACCATCTACGAAGATGTTTACACATAAATTGTATTGTTATTGATAATGGAAACATTTTTCATTAGTTAATGATTTCAAGTGATACAAGCGATCATTTTTAGGAAAATATTTTCTAAATCATATATTTTCCGCGAAATAAACGGAGCTTTTTGAGTGGAACAAAATTGAACCTCTTAAAAGAAAACGTTGGACCCATGATCCCACTGAGAAGGAGGGGAAGAAATTGTTATGGTGATGACCACAATCAAACGATCATCATTTAGGACTCAAGGAGAACACATTTAGGGCATGCATGAAAATCATTATATTTTTCTATTCCCGAGAACAGACTTGGAACATAAATCCGTTTGGTAACGCAATTTCATTTTTCTATTTCTAGAATAAATTTTGGATTTCAAAAATAGGTTTGGAAGAGAAATGAAAGTAAATTTTTTTTACTTTTCTATTTCTAAAACAGAAGTGAAAAATAAAAACTCTTCTCATCGCTCGCCTTCGCTATTAGCTGGCCGCCCACCCGCTGCCCGTTGGTCGCCTCCCTCTGCCGTTGTTCATTGCTGCCCGACACCTGCTGCCTCTTGCCGCTGTCCTCTAC